GATAAAGTTGTACGCTTCTGAATGAGGCCTGTTGGACTCAAAGGGGATATATGTTACTATACATGTTTTTTGTAGCACTAAACATATCTCTAGGATCAGATCTCTTTGCACAATGATATTGTCCCCTGATGTATCAAAGATTAAAGGAAAGAGAGTCTGACCATGTTCATACCTGAGTGTCTGCGTTGAGGACTTTGATCCTCTGTGTGGACATGAACAGATCCACCTCAGCTGTGGACGGAGCCTCCCCGTCAGGGCTCTGCACGAGGAGACAAATAAAAACACTGACGTCTAATGCAGTTTACGAAGTCATAACAGAGGGAGGCAAAAAATGGAGAGTCAGCGGGTCAGGAAAACAACAAAACAGTTTTTTTTCATAAAAGGTTGTTTGTATGAAGACAAAACATACAAATTATCTTGTGTATTCATCAGCAATCTGTACATTTTTTAGGCTAATGCTTTATTTTAAACATTACATCCGTACATCTGAGTTATCTTTTATGCAACTTGTAAATCACAAGACGATAACAAAACAAACAAGTGTACCTTCTTTCTGTTCTTCGCCTGCTTCTGAGCCGCCTGCAGCGATCAAAAAATACACACACACAAAAAAAAACCTCAGAAGAATTCAAACAAGAAAACCCAATCGCCTCATTCACTGTCTGTGATCCAAATGCCAAATTAAAGGACAAAAAGGACCTCAAATATGTGTGTGTGTGTATCTGCATGTGTTTGTGTGTCTGTGTCTGTGTGTGTGTGGTGTGTGTGTGTGTGTGTGTGTGTGTGTGTGTGTGTGTGTGTGGTGTGTGTGTGTGTGTGTGTGTGTGTGTGTGTGTGTGTGTGTGTGTGTGTGTGTGGGAGGAAGTGATATTACTGTCTATCACATCTGACAGAGCAGGCTGCCAGCGGCCTTCACAAACATTATCAAAAGTTCCTCTTAATCGATGTGACACGGACGACCCCTGAAGAAAAGACGAGCGGCCTCGTGTGTCTGCGGCCGACGCCTCGCCACAGCTCAGGGTTTCATGATTCCAAATGTCTGCTGGTGCTGTCGCGCAGTTTGCTCTCTAAACTGTTCAGAGGTTAAAATCTCAACCTGCTGATGTGATTAAAGTGGATTTAATCTGTGGAAATTAAAAAAAGGATCATAGCTTTGAAATGATCTGAGGTGATTCTGATGTGTGACACGCTGTGAGTGAGACATCTTCTCATGATGGATGATGATAAGTTTAGACTTGTTGTATTGACACTGTATTTCACCGGATTATGTAATTTTGTAGGACAACACTAAACAATTTTTAATTCATATTTCACAGAATGCTCAACTGATTCATATCAACCAGTGTAAACTCAATCATTAGTAGCTGCTGTAAATCTGAACTACAGAAGAAGAAGTGGGTAATGTGTGTTCGATCAGAGAGAGTTCTCTTCAGAGAAATGTTTGTGGAACTGATTTCTGTTTTTTCTGTTTGTCGGGTAAATATGCGTTCTGCATGCATACCGACAGTCCAAAAATAGTTTCTTAAAGGCTTTATATGTGATTTTTTGATCCAGCAGATGTCGCCCTTGAGCACCAGCATGAAACCAAAACAACTCGTGTTGCATTGTTGTGTTAGCATGCTAATGCTAGCGATCTTTATTATGCTGGTATCTTCACACTGCATGTAAATTTACCTGAAATGAGCGTGATCTAGAAACACAGTTAAGCAGTGAGTACAGTATGTTATTCTTCTTTTCTCTAGTCCCTCAATTAAACAACTTTTATACACGAGGGGAGGAGTCAGCCGGCCGTCCTGACGATGTAAACAAACTGAAGATAGGACTCTGAAAACTCTGAAAACATCACAGACAGTGGGACTCGGGTGTTACACCCATTGTAGACAGTCATTACTCACAGAGTTATTTTCAGAGGATATACTTGATTTCTACATTTAAGTGTGAACAATCACATATAAAGCCTTTAAAGCATGAGGTACCAATCTGAAGGACTTCATCTTTACACTCTTTAACGTTCAAATAAAACAGAACTTTCAGAGTCTCTAACCGTGACAAACCACTTGCTGCAGACACAGCCATCTTTACAAATTCAGCGAAACAAAAAGAGCTACCCACTTTGTCCACGGGGGTTGCCAAAATAAACACAAACCAAAAGTTCTCCTGCAGGAGCTTTAAATAACAGTGAATTAGTGATTTGATATTAAATTCTACTCAGTTCATCCTTTAAGTCCAAGAGGATTTATTGTGCTGTTTTTGTTCATAATTGGTCAACTCTGGTCTGTTTTTTTAAAAACTGATTTTATTATTTGGATGTTTTATTTATTTGGGCCTTAATGTTATTTGTCCAGTTCTTATCTTGTGTCTTGACTGTGATTGCAGCCTGTGTGTCGGTGTAATTTCCTGTAAAGGATTAATAAATGATCTGTCTGAAGATTCCCTCCTGACATCGCTAATAGAGCCGGTTTACAACAAAGGGATGGACTGGTCGAACTACCTGAAAGAGGAAGGCTCTGTGATAAAACACATGGACAGAATTCAGTTATCTTTTCACTCTAAGGCCGTATAGCTCGATTTATTTGATTGCACATTTCCCCATTTATTTATTTTTGTTGCCGTTTTTGTGACTGCTGATAATCTGCACTGATACATCATACTAAGTACTCATTCATGGTGTCAGAAAATGTGATTTTGTAAACACTGCTATTGTTAAGATCCTCACACTCTCTCTCACTCTGAGCCTGCAGAAAACACGTCATTGTTTCTGTCTCAGCCTCGGCACTGACCGCCTCCGCAGGCTGCCGTCACATCAGCATCCTGAGCCGTGGTCTGACTCGTGACCTGTGCTGGACGTCATCGTTCATACATCACTCTGTCACCTCCAGGGTTTCATCTCTGTTTATTTTTAGCGGACATCCTGAACAATAACCGTCTTTTGATGCCATTGTGGACAGTCCTGCCCGTGGACCTCAGGCTGCCCTCCATTAGAACGCTTATTTTTACACACTGAGATTTCTTCTTTTTTTCATCTGACCCAATAAATCCCTTATTTGAAGCATACTGAGAGTAAGTTAGACATTAAGTTGTTGGAACTAAATGTAGTTAATGTTTAGCTCTAGGTGCAATACATTACAAAACGTCTTTATGTCTGCTTTAAATAATTTCTCTATTATTTGTAAATCAAAGGTTCAATGTAATTTAGCGTGTATGTTTTAGCTCATTCATGTTGTTATTTTAATGTTGTCATTGCTGTCTAAAAGACAAATTTAAAAAAGTACAATCTGAAACCTGAGAAAATATGAATTCACTACATTGAGAGTTATTTTTTCACAAGTTCTTAAATACGGACGTGCAAGATGCAACAACTGAATATTTTATCTGTCTGAAAACAACTAAATCTGCTGCTGAATCAAATCCCTCTGGATGGAAACTGACCCTGATCCTGATCTCATTAAATGAATCTGGGATCAGCCAGATGTGAGGGGACCTCATTAAAACAGTTTTGTGGTCCGGTCAGGTCATTCTCGGAGGTAAGCTTACGTTGATCCCCCCTCTGATACTAAAGTCTAACATCCTGACAAACAGAACGGACTTCTTAAGTGTTTCACTTTTGTTTTGTTGAGAGAGGGTTTTCAAAAAAAATCATTTAAAATATGTTTCATTTCACTTTCAAATAAGAGCTTCTTTTTTATTTTCACATTAAACTTAACAGCTGCTGAAGCTGCAGAGCAGTTTGGTTTGAGTCTGTGAGACCAAACCAACATAAAAGTAAAGGTGTCTGATGTCAGTCCCAGCTGCTCCGTGCTGTTTGTCAGGTTAGATAATAATCTAATACTACAGCTCAAACTATATGAACCACTACATACATGTTTAAACATATAAAACTGATGGTACATGATGATGTCTCAAGTGTTTTCAGAGGGAGGGGTTAATTAAGTAACACTGACGTGGAAAGTAAGTTGCGTTAAGAATGAAAGGTAACTGTGATTTTAATTGTGATGCAAATTTTTGCCAGCAAAAAAAGGCTTTAAACAAGAGATCTGTCCAATTGGACGGCCCATTCCTCAGTGAGTCTGTGAGTAGAGTTGGCCCCGGGCCCTAAACGTCATTTTTAGGTTGGTGTGATAGCCATCTGTCATCACAGGTATCAAGGCCCCTCAAAAGACCCTGTTCTTTTCTCATGCTTTTTTACTCTCAAGGGGACCACAAGTCAACCTACAGTATGAACATGATGACTTGAAACTAGTGATTAAGGCCATGACATCATCATCATCATCATCATCATCATCGTCATCATTATCAACCTGCCAGGTGACAACAGATGGAAACTGGCCTGTGGATTTAATCTGGTATATTTCTATGTAGATGTTCATTAATGTGCATTGTCTATTTTAAATAAACAAAATATTATAAATAAAATCAGAAAAATCTATCAAACACTAAGTTCTTATTTGAGTCTACTGCCACACAATCTGACTTATTCCTGCATTTATTGGTGTCGCCCCCTACTGGACAAAAGAATGACTGCAGATAGATACATTACTGAGCCTTCAGCTACATCCTCTTCTTATTCGTTGACTTTGTTACAGACTAAAAGATGAACCTCACCGTAAGAATAAAGTTAAATCACTTCTCTGTATCCTCACCAGCATGAGTCAGACCACTGCGTCCCAGCAAGTGAGACGCCAGACAGTGAATGACTTATGTATCCCCCCCTCCTCATTACAGAGTCTCTAACCCCCTCCCTCCCTGTAGGTTCCTCAGACCTTAACCGAGGCGATGTCCTTAAACTGTCAGTCAGCCGTCCAGAAAGCACAAATTTGGCTCTTCTCCCGCCCTTTCCCCGCCGAGGACACTCTTCCCTCATCGCTCTGAAATGGCAACCTCTTCCTGCTCATCTCTCTGGCTAACAGAGCACTTTGTTTGAACGCTAGCTTCACCACTCAGTCCCTGACACCACCTACCATCAAGTGGATATTTCTTCTCATGTGAACAGTGAAAGCAGCCTACATGAAACTATCTGAAATGAGCCACATTTACATCCACTCCTCTGCTTTGTTTGTTCTGTGTCTTTCCTTTGCGTGACCTGTATTGGACATCATGCACAGCGACTAGAGCAGAAAGCTGAGTCTTCAGTCTCCAGTGCTGCAGAGCCTTGATGAAGAGTTTATATAACATCCAGTGGAGCTCGTTTGACTAGTGGATCGGGAGCGGTGATCTGTGGATGATGCATTGTGCAGAAACCCGGAGACTCTTTGCCCGCCGACTGTGTTGACTGCTTTTAACTTTAAAAGACCCAAATATGAAGTGAACCTTATAGTTACATCACTGAAATGTCAGAGTGTGCAAAAGAGGCAACTCCAAAATGAAGGAGCTGCTGGTTTGATCTTCAGGATCCTTGATAAACCCAAAGTGTTCACTTTAAGAAGCTTAAAGGTTGTGAAGACGTTGGGCCAAGTTGTCACTCTGATGGTTTATTCTCTGTTTAAGGTTTTACAAAACCCGCCACTTAAGCTGTATGATGTTCATACTTTGTGTAATGGTGTTGGCATGTTTCTTTATGGTTGTACCATTTAATCAAATGATTAGATTCCAAATGTCTTTTTGATGTTTTCAGGCACATTTTCACAGATTCAGCGTGATAGATTTAGTTTAGGCTGACACAAGAAAATGTTTTTTTCTTCAGATATAAAATTGTGAATTATTTTTCTATCCCAATATATCAGTCTATAAACATTCATCTGTCAAATTATTTGAATGATCTGAGGGACCGGCAAAGTGAGCTCCTGTCTCTCCTTTTCTCTCTCTCTCTCTCTCTCTGTAATTCATGTCCGACCTCCCGTGTCTTATAGCTTCCTGTGGATCGTTGCTGCTGTCCTGTCTCACTTCCACTATTAATATAATATAAAGTGTTACTGACATCTCTTCAATGCAGGGAATCCTATATTGGGGCGCAGGATCCCTTTCACTGCTGGCACAGCATGACATATGTTTCAAAAGGACTTCGAGCTAGACGTAACCCTGTGAAGGAATCTACACCAGACATTACAAATGATGAAGTTTTTGTTGTTTCCTCTTTAAAAGGCACTTTTTTTCACTTTGTTGTCAAACACTGAAGTTTCTATTCTTTAAATTAATAAATTCTAAAACTATAGGAATTTGTTAGCAAAGAGTGAGACTTACAGTGTGTTCATTATATGTCAATATATGTGTGTGTGTGTGTGGGGGGGGCAACTTGAACTATTATAATTATTATCATAAGTCTGTATGAGCTGTTGTAGATGATCTTGGTTTCTCTGTGCTCATGGTGGATTATTGTCAGGTCCTTGTAAACAAAGAGTAAAGTCTAGACCTGCTGCTTTTTTGTGAGTGTTGTGAGATTCATTTGTTATTAATCGACGCTTTAAAAATGATTCATTGATTGAATAAGAAAATTGGTCAGCGGTTTAACAGTTTGTACCAAAAGAATTTAAAATGTTTTTTGGCATATTACTGACCATCTATAGAGCTGTTTGGTTGATCTGCATTGTTTCCTCTGCTCTGATTGGCAGGTCAGTGTGATAGCTGCTTGTCATAGCCTTTCCCTGTCATGTATTTACCATTACTAACTTTCATTTGGACCAGTAGTTACAAGTTGAACAATCTTTTTTTTAACTTAAGGTATGTATGTTTTCTGAGGTATTAAAGTGACTGAGAGGTAGGGTCAGTTTCTGAAAGAATTCAGGTTGAAGACAATTTCAAATCTTATATACATTCTACCGTATTTTTCTTGTGTTGTCACCATCAGAAAATATCAAAACAAACTGTATTTTGCTCTCACCCGGACTCTGTTCATGGCCTCCTGAGCTTGCTGCATGCGGGCGCTCTTTGTAGGCGTCCTCTCTGACAGCAGGTGGGTGCAGCCCAGGTAGGTGGCTGCAAAGATGATGCCGTCAATGAGGTCTTCAGGGTCGCATGGTCCTGGAACTACATCAACCAAATACAACGACTAGCACATTAACAATCATTAAAATATACTGTAGCATACAAACATTTAAAGGTGAGGATAGGGAAATGAAAAGTGTGTGTTGGAGCTGGATCAGGACAGGGGTAATAAAAAACGGTTATGTGTGTGCGTGGTAGAGCTGCACGATGAAGACAAATATGTGATGTGCAATTATATTGTCGATATCGATGACAATATGAAGTGTGATTAAAAAGAGATCAGTTTGTTTTATATGTCCATCTGCTGTTCTACCCCTGCTTGAGACATGAATCTCCAGGAAACAAGTTCACTAAAGTGTCACCAATGAACTTAAGAGTAGCTTAACGCTGCTTAGACTTCATCTGACTGCTTCAAAGTATTCTGATGCCTCCATCCAAAAGGTTAAATGTAGACATACTGAGTGACAAAGCCATTTACATAAAACAATGTTTCTTATTTATTGCAATAAATTCAGACTTTGCATGAAGTGTAAATTGCAGATACTGATATTTAATTTAGTTTAATTTAACATAATTTATAATCGCTGAGGGAAATACTGGTTTCTGTTATTGAGAGACATGCTTCTCACACACACAAACAGGATATATAGGCTGGACATGCATCAGTGGAGAGATATCAGAGTGGGGCTGCTACACACTACTACATAGGGAGCGCACCAGAGCGGGTTGGGGGTTTGGTGCCTTGCTCAGTGGCACCTTGGCAGTGCTCGGGAAGTGCTCTGGCACCTCTCCAGCTGCCAGACCAACTTCCACAGCCGCCCCCCACAATACAGCAATAGTGATGAAGTTGCGGTTAATTGCATTGTATTAATCAGTGTGTTAGTTAGGTTGGCTGGATCTCTTTTTTTTTTAAGTTCTGTTATAAATAATGATTTTACTTGTGAATGAAATGTGAAAAACATGTGTTAGCCTGATCCTCCAAAATATCAAAACATGATTTTTAATCTGGACTCACTGCCAAAAACATGAAATAAAAGAAATGGATTGTGAAAAAAAAGAAGAACTCTATCTTCAAATCAACAGAAGAAAAAAATGGAGCTGGGAATAAAATTTCAGAAGAAAGAATAATACATAAAAAAAACATAAAGATTGATTTTACACTCACCGTCCACAAATGTTGGAAACTGAGGAAGAGATCTGCGAATCTGTGAAGGTGAGAAGAAGACAAACCACATCAGCGTCCTTATTATTTCTCCTCACATACTGCAGGTCTCTCCTAACTCATTGAAATTCTGGGAGACTTTTACTGCTGTCAGCCGTTTAGCTGCTGGCAGATAAACACCTCGTAAAAGATGCCCGCCTGCCTTTTCCAGGATTTATCATCCTCGCTGAAAAGGATCCAGTGAGCCCGGCTTTTTTTAGACTGCTTTCAGCCTTTAGCTTGTTTACTTTTAGACAAATTGGCATCTTTCAAGGTAAGCCGAATTTAGCTGTTGGAGGTTCTTGTTTGCACGACTCAGAGATGTGAAGACAACACTGCCTCCTGGTTACTTTGACACTTCAGAAATACTTCAGATTGTGAAGAATCCTGGGCAGGATCTGCAGTTATGAGGAGCGTCTTCTGTTCTATATTTGACATGTTAATTAATGAACTCTCACATCCTGGACAGATGGCGGCTGCGGAGGTGTCGCCGGCTGCACTTGCGGTTGCGGCTGCTGCGCCGGAAGCTGCTGACGCTGTTGTTGGTGCTGACGCTGCTGATGCTGATTAGGCTGCATCTGTGGGTACGTCTGTGGTTGTGAGTATGTCTGCGTCGGCCGGGTGGTGTCTCTCTGCTGTGGATGCTGGCCCTGGTGGTGGTGTTGGTGGTTGTGTTGGGGCTGCTGTTGGTGATAATGTTGAGGAGGAAGTGCTCTAGCTGAGTCAGCTCTGAGCGGACTGACCGGCTCCCGGGCTGGAACTGAAGCGTAGCGGGACGGAGACTCAGACACCGACTGCGAGGGGGAGTGAGGAGAAGACTATCAGGAGGAGACAGAGACAAATAGAAGAGCATTTATTTTAAATTTCCTCTTTGTAAGTGCAATGCATCTACAGCAACACCTTCCTCCCACCATTAATGATTCACAGGGTTTGGGCATCAATCCAAGAAACAAAATGAAATGAGAGCCAGGGATGTAAATCCTTAGTTTGCTTACTTCCCAGAAGCGATGAAGTCTAATCTAATCATCGCAACATGGCAGTTCCAAACTTCTTGGGCAATGTCACTCATCAGAACAGACTTAAATCAGCGGTTCAATATCTTTTTAAAAAAAGATTTATTTTGGGACTTTTGCCTTCAGTGGATAGAGTAGGAAATCAGGGAGAGAGGGAAAGGAGCCGTGGGTGAGACTGAGACCTGGACCGCCAGCTTGAAGGACTATAGTCTCCGTACATGGGGCGTGACCTTTCCACTAGGCCATCAGTGCCCCGGAATAGTTCAGTAATTGAAAAGATAAATGAAAATTGCACCAAGAAATGTCAATAAATGACACCAAAATATAACTTGTTCATAATCAGACAGATGTAGAGGCTTTTGTGTCCATTTTCTTATGACCATGACTCAAGCAAAGCCAAGGACTTGTACATGGAAATGTGTTCTAACTTTGAAGGAAGACAGAAGTAAAGCTTTATGTTGGTTACTGCAGGACACAGAAGTCATACCCTCAGCTCATTCTCACACCAAGGTGGTTCATTTAAACACAACTTCCATCTCACGGATCTCTGCTACATCAATGCTGTATACGCTGCTGCTGATGGCAAAGCTTTGCCTCGGCCATCCAAGGCGCCTCCTTCCTGCCTCGAGCCATTAGTTCACCCTTTCGGGAGGTTTAGCGCTGCGCTCCCTGGAAACCTGGGACATGCTGCTGCTCCGCTAACCCAGGGAGAATCTTTCAAGAAGAGCCTTCAACCCCAAGCTAAACTGTGAGTCCACTTCACAATGAAATGATTACATGTATAAAGAGAGTGTTCCTGACTGAACTGAATTTTTAAAGAAACAAGTTGCAGTGTTTGGTGTGAGAGAACACTGAGAGACCTGCAGGATGCAAACAACTGTTTCTAAATATCCTCCATCCTGCAGATGTTGATGAAAATAAATTTAAACAAAATGAAGGCTCTGCCATGTGAGTGCTCTCCTAAATGAATAAAAGAATGTTTTACTGTAGGGCGTCTTTACACATTCAGCAGTGTTTCTTCTCTCTCAGTCAGGCACATCATACCAGTGCAAACTGCTAGAGTTAAGACTTTAATCTATATTTTTGATTTAGCTTTTTGATACTATTGCATGGGGAAATCATGAATGTATTTTCTGGACATCTCCCATTTCTTAGTACTAATCTATAGTTAAAGCTGAGAACAAGAATCATTCCTCTGGCTCTTGAGTTGAAAGACTTAGATACATCCAGGGGAATCAGGAGAAGTTAAGAATAAATCATAGTTTATTTGGTCTTTTCCCTTTTAGGATGACGTAGGATCCTCTCATGAATGAAGTGTTTGTTCAAAATCCTGAAAGGTTTTGGAGAACTGATGACTTGTGAATGTTTATTTTTTCTCTAAAGCCTGGAAGAAACGTTAGGATGGTTTATTTCTTCAATAGTCATACTCACATGTCCAGCTGTGGTCTGCAGCGGGTAAAGGTCCTCTGTGGGGCTGCTCTCCTGCCTCATCACCCAGATCGGCTCCACAGGCTGGTCAGGTGTGTACGGGGAGCGGACTGCCTTAATCTTCACCTCCTCTATCGCCTCCTTAATGTCTTTGATGGCCAGGCTGATGGCGTCTCCTGAGCCCCTCGAACCTTCCTCTCCATGGTTACCCATGGCATTCCTCTCCTCCTGGGCGTCACCTGAGCTGCTCTGCCAAGACAAGGGGCTCTTGGCCTGGGTTTCTCCTGATCTCTGAGCCGGCCTGCGACCTTTTGGAACAGGACTTTGATTCCCGCCGTCCCCCTCGCTGTCGGACTGTCCGTCGTAGTGGTGTAGCCGGCAGCCGACAGAGCGGTCCAGAGGGGAGTGATGGGAGATGCGGTCTCTTCCCTGCCTTGGGGCATAATGAGAGCCCTTGGTGGGGGAAGGCGGAGCCCCTTTTTGTACATTCTCCTGTCTATGGCTGGTGAAGGGCTCTTGGTGGGACTCCTGACGGGCTTCATGGGGCTCAGGCCTCCAACCAGATTGCCTGCGAGGCTCTCTATGCGACTCAGGGTAGGATGTCTTCAGAGGCTCAGGAAAGGAGTTGGGATGGGATTTTGGCTCTGCGTATGACTCATACACCGGCTCCTGGTACGATTTTTGGTGGGACTCTGAGTAAAAGTCTGCATAGGTTTTAGGATAAGATTCCGAGCCGGACGTGAAGTGTGACAGCGAGCACGACTCGGAGCAGTCCTCATCATCATCGTCATCATCCTCGGGTAGGAGATCGTTGTCGGGCAGGGGGCTCATGCTTGCGTCCTCGCTGAAGTGGTCCAGCTGCGGGAAAGGTGGGACGTCCGGGGAGGAAGGTGGAGTTGGCGAGTGGAGTGGCGGCGGGCTGTGCAGAGGTCCGTCCATGCTGAGCGAGGCGGCGCTCTCGGTGTCCGAGCAGAGGTCGGTGATTTCACTTCCCTGAGCCGCGATGTCCTCCGCCACGTCCTCCATCGCTTCCTCCTGATCCTCCTCCACCCTCTCTGCACACTCCTCTGCTGCGTCGTCGTCATGACTACAGCTAAGGCGAGCTGTGGTGGAGAGGTGGTCTCCGTCATCCTCTGTCTGCTCTTGTTCTTCTCTGCTCCTCTCCTTACCTTCCTCCACCTCCTCTTCACACTCCACTTTATTCTCCTGGATGTCCTGGTCCTCCTCCGCCTCGGCAGGAGGAGTGTGTTCGTGGTGAAGTTGCTTGTTGTGGGCAGTAGAACCAGGTGAGAGGTGGGTGGGGGTAACAACAGCTATGGGAGTCTGGTGAGAGGATGCCCTGTCCTGCGATTGGTCCACAACAGGATCATCTGACCTGTGTTGCAGCACCTCTCCTGGACCCTCCCTTTCCTCAACAGGTGAAGCATCCTGCGTCTCTTTGATTGGCTGCCTCTGCCTCTGACCTCTGAGTCTAGGGTTAGGGTCACCATGGCGGCGGTAACGGGCGACACCGGGGCGGGGCTGCTGGACGGGACGAGGCTCGTCCTCTCTGCCCTCAACACCGTCCGGCCTGCAAGGTGCTGCCTCTGGGGACAAACCAGGACTCTGAGCCTGGCCCTGGCCCTGCCCCGACGGAGGCCGCCGGCGATGCCGAGGAGGACCCCGACCTGAGGGTGGTTGGTGGTGGTGGTGGTGGTGAGGAGGGTGGTGATGGTGGTGGTGATGATGGGGATTCGGTTCCCCGTCCTGGTTGAGCATCTGACAGGGCCTCCAGGAGCGGCGGACAGGGGGATCCCCGGCTGTCGATCCGTTGGCCTGCCTGCTCCTCAGAGGGGCCTTCTGCTCCTCGCCTGCTTCCCCTGATGCCTCGCCCTGATACTTCTGGCTCATGGCTCTGGCGTGATCTAACTTTATTTTTTAGAACATGCTCCACTTAGCACCAAGAAAATTCTGCTCATGGCACAACCTGGGAGAGACAGAGGCAGAAAATAAATAGAACATTTTAAAAAATAGGCAAACGATGCTCTAGTAAATGCATAAAAAGAAAAAAAGAAAAACATTGTTAGTACTAAGGATGCATGTATCTGTTGAACATCAGTATTGCCCTGATGAGTGCATCAAGTCTAAACACTGATTATCGGGTTATTTCTTGTTTTAATCACCAGAACTTGCAGTCAAACTCCTGCACACTGTCTAGATTGCACAAATACATGAGCAACATTTTGGTTGCCAGTGTGTTTGTGCAATTTAGTATTTAGACCGGGTCACCTCCTCTGCTCTCTGTTTGTTTGTAAGAAACATAAACCTAAATGTTGCATCTTCATGAGACACAGACGTCAGTAACCCGCTGCTCTCTCCTCTTCTCTTACGACAGCGTTTGGTTAAAAATAAGACTTTTTGGATAAGATGATCATTAAATAACAGAAATATTATAGTTTAAAAACACTTGGTATCAGGAAACTATCAAGGTATCATCATTTTGACAACCTTAACCCTGAACTATGATCCCCTCTTTGTTGTCATTTTTAAACTCCAAACTGCTTTGATGAGTTAAAGGAAAGATAATGGTTTAGACTATTGGACACAATTTACAACATATAATTGTTAATATTTTTATCTCTATTTAATCATTCTTTATTCTCAGTACAACATTATGATGCTCAATTAGGAATCAACAAATGTCCTTTGATACAGTATATATATTAAAATCTATCGGGAAGTCTACTGGTGGTGTCAGCCACGATGGTACTTAAGCTGTTGTCTGTCTTTCATAACACTCTCCTCTCCAAATACTGCATCTCTTTGTTTTCTTAACCACTTTGTCATTTTCTTCAAATAAAAGCTAAATGACAATATTTTTTGGGGAGAAATGTTGTGTACAATAAAAACAAAAAAATGCTAATTTTACTCAAACACAAACCTTTAAATAGTAGAACCAGAGAAGAACAGATTAGAGCAGTAAGTGTGTATCTGTATATAATTGATGAGCATGAATAAAAGCCTACATTTTTTTAGCTTCCCAATGTCAGCACTGCCTCTGATGAAAATGATAACTGTTTAAGTTACATTTTTACCATACCAACGCTAATTAAGCCATAGCATAGCACACACACACACACACACACACACACACACACACACACACACACACACACACACACACACACACACACACACACACACACACACACACACACACACACACACACACACACACACACACACACACACACACACACAGGAACTCCCTCTCTCTATATTGCCAATAGCAGAACCCTAAATCCAAGGGGATTCATCTGGGTGTGTACTACACTTTAATCTGCACCACGTTCATCCGTCCAGCAGCAGCTGGCAGATGGCAAAGGATAGGAAGAGAAAAAAGGAGGAGGAGTAGGAGGAAGAGGAGGAGGAGGAGGAGGAGGAGGGCAGAAGGACAGGGAAGGATATCTCTGGTATCAGATAAGACCTGGCAGAGAGACGAATAAGGCTACGATGTGAATAATAAATACCCTCAGTGTGAGAGAGAGGCCCAGTTTTGATATTTATTTTATATGACAGGGCTATCGGGGTTCCCGTCAGTTCGCTCTTATCACGACCTTCAACATGTCCGAGGTCAACGAGCTGAGAAAGGACATAAAAAATGTAATCCTTGTAGCTGCTTCAAGAACGATAAAAAGAAGAAAGAGACGTATGCTTATTTTTGAAGGCCTATATTTATGTTTCCTGCTTCTCCATGATTTAAACAAGCTGCCGTCATACGTCTTCTATCAAGACCGAACAATCAATAAATGTGGGACTGTATGTAAGAAACATCTGTTTTCATCCTCGTCTTCCGATCTCAGATAAATGGTTGCTGAATATTTACTGTGCACTCCTTCAGTGATCTGTCTGAAATCCAGACATTATTGTTGTTTGAACATCAAGATTATCACAAACTCAAGGCTCAATTAAAGAAGATGGCAAGTTAAGAGTCGAGAACGTAAAACTTGTACTATTTTAAGAGCTTCTCTTTATTTCTTTTGCACAATACAGCATTGCCTCTTTGTCAGTAATGTGCTTAGAAAGGATTGCAAATAAACATTTCCTCTACAATAGATGTTGCCTGACAGATTCTTTGAGGAAAAAAAGGCGACAAACTTAAAGGAGCAAAATGTCTCGTGTCACTATGTCTCTCTTAATTTAAAGAACACTTGTGCAATGGAAAAACCCCTTTGTCTGCTGAATGTTAAATCCATTTGATTAGAAGCTGGGCTCTGTTTTCAGGTATTTTGGTTTAAAAAATAATTTGGAATCCCTCTCGTAGATTAATTCAGCCAGCAGGTGAATAAGCTGCAGCCAATCAATAACAACACAACTGAAGTACGTCCACTACAGGCGCTTCTTTCTGTGTCCGACATGCTCAGATTGTCATCCAAAGTGTGTGACTGACAACATTACAGAAGGGATTCCTCAAAGAGATACACTTCTTTTTAACAAGTAGCAGCTATTACGTCATCCTCTACAAACTTATCAGACTCCATTTACAAAAACTGTATGTATGAGAGTTGCTGGTCTGCCGTTGCCTCGGTCGGTCACAGTTTTGTGTTTGAACAGTTCTGCTCTGCTCAAACATGACAAAAAAAAAAAAAAATTCAGCTGTGGCCCACCTCTACTGCGTTCAACACAAAATAACCCTTTTTGTTAAGTGAGTCTTGTTGTTACTAAGCAAACAGTGTTGCTTACAGTTATTTATGGTGAAAGCGGAAAAAAAGCTTTCTTTCAGTTGACGCACTTTGACCAGGAACTTTTTACCTACAGGATTATGTTACTGCCATGAAAGCCTGCTTTGCACTTTTGAAACAGAAACGATTTACAATGGTGCAACAAACATTTTGTACTCATAAGTCATTGAGCCTAAAGTGTACGAATTAAAATAGACCCCGGAGTTAAAATGCATACTGTAAATGCTACTTCAACGTGATCACATTTTCTCTTTCAGTGTAATAATAATTGAAGATGTAACTTCAACAAAATGTGTGTAACTTGTTTTTGGTCAGTGTTTCTTCTTCTGATTATAAGATAACATAAGACATGCTTTATTAATCCAACAATGGGAAATAAAATGTGACATACTGTGTTATTGAACATGCTACACACACGCACACATGCCCAAACAGGATCCTATGGACATGCACTAATGGAGAGAAGTCAGAGTGAGGGGGCTGTTTTCTGTTTGGTTTTCTATCGTTTCATCTCTTCTGTTTGTTTTTTTGTGCCTCATTTGTCATGTATATGTCACCAGTTTGTCACGCTATTGCATGAAATAAAAAAAGATTGAGAGGGGGGCTGCCCACATCGAGCGCTTGTGAGCTATTAGGGGGGTTGGTGCCTTGCTCAAGGGTACCTCAGTAGTGCTCAGGAATTGAACAGCTAATTTCCAGACTTGGTCCGTTTGAACAGGCGACCCTCCAGTTCCTAGCCCAAGTCCCTACAGACTGAGCTACTGCCGCCCCCCTTAATAAATTCTTAGTATTAATTCTTCCTCTCATATCTATAGGATTATGTAAAATATATTGGATCCATTTTGATCATGTGAGCTTTCTTTTTATAATCAAAGTAAATGTATGATAAGCCCTCTCCTACCCGTCAATTACAGCAGCTTGTCTTGAATCAACACGTTAGGATTAAGCAGCAACAGAAGGTTTACCGACGTGTTTGTCATCGTATATGTGCAGAGATATAAACTCCAGTCTTTTCAAATCGAAGTCGAGTACATAGAGCCGACACAGAGGGCAAGGGTTAACGATTATCCCTGTAATCTGAGCACGAACCACAACTGTCAGGGACAGAGCACAAAGGGATGCAACAGGAGTCAGGGCGGACTCCCCGGGTGGCTAATGTGTCCCTCTGCCAGGAGTTTTAGGACTGGATGGCATCGGGTTGGGCGGGTCAAGGGGGGGGGTCAGAGAGGAAGGGTGGCCCGGGTCACAGATGGCCCCTGGCAGCGTGGCAGAGAAACGCACAGGCCTGCAGAGCCGTGAGCCGAGCGCTGCACGTCCATCTGTCAGGCTGCAGTGAAAGCTGCGGGGTGGGGGATTTACTAGCCCATTAACTCGCTGATCTTATACTGACAGACAAACACACACTGACAACCACACGTGTGCTATACAGACCTGCAAGGACTTTCACTGATTATTGACCTAACTTCAACTTCCTCCACTAAACTGTAAACCCTTAATGTGTGGCTGAGTAGGTAAGGCAAACAGAATCATTCTGACTGTAGTTTTCAACTGATGATCACTGTTACCATATATGTGGCTGTCAATTGTCATGTATCCTATAATTCATGAGGAAACTGTGAAAAATGACCATCAATATTTCTCAAAGGTGATGTCACAGTGTGGTGATGTGTTGTGGATGAATTTTTTCCATTTAGATGGATCTTGACCAATGAAGTGTCAGCTGAAATTGTAAGTTAATAAGGAAATACCACAGACATACAGTATCAGTATTTATGGATGCTTGTTCAAAACAGCCAAACACAGCCATTTGAAAACAATTCTCTGGTTGATCTAAAATAGTTTATATCAAACAGTGAGTCAGTCCAGTGCCCACACTCAAAAGTTTACAATACTCTCAGCTGTTTCTGTTGTGATTTGCATTAGAATAAGTGGACGATGGGTGACCATATTAAATATTCTACTTTATTTGTTGAAGAAGGCAGCCTTCTAACTTTTGTTTAGTCATATTGATGCACCACCCACATAGAAACAGATCTATTTTAATGTTAATTAAAATATTTAGGTTGGATTTTTACTCTCCAGTATTTTTCTATTTATTTATTTATTTAACCAGGTTGGTCCCATTGAGATTGAAAACCTATTTTTCAAGGGAGACCTGGCCAAGACAGGTATAAGTGTTTCTATATGTCTTAAAATGTTGTGTGAAATGTTTCAGGAAGTATTTTACACTGTACATTCTCATAAACAATGTTTAGTTGCAAGAATAAAATGACCACTTGAGTTCATTTTACTCACTCTAAACATTTATATAACCACAGAAAACAGTCAATTTTCCAAATGAATAAACTGTCAAGTTCCATTTATTGCTTGTCTTTTAAAGGGATGACATTTGTGAAGTTAAAAAAAAAAAACTGCACCTGAGTCCTGCAGTCAAACACAGCTGCCAAATATCCAGGAGCAGTAGCTGGTGAATCATTTGGATTCTGAAGGAAGGATTTAAAACTAATCTTGGGCGTGCTTGTTTTATCTCCAGATGTGTATTTATGAAGAGGGTGACAGACTCAAACTCTCTGCACTAGATGCTGCAGTGATCAGGTGAATGCAACATTAAAGATACATCTGTGAAATAGAAAAAGAAAATGCATCATGTACAGTGGGTGCATCGTCTCACAATCTTATCTTGCACACACACAATCCTGTGTTTCAATGTTGTCAAAAACAAGACATGGCATATTCACCATGAAACCCTTTTATCTGCATAAACACAAAGTTTATTGGTTGCTGATTCCAACCCAATCCATTTAATATCCTTTCAAACAAATCAAGAACATTGAGGCATGGGGGCGCCAGTAGCCTAGTGGTTAATGTGCTCGCCCCATGTACAGAGGCTTGCCCTCCAAATGGGCAAAGATTCGAATCCGATTCGCTCGCTTCCCACATGTCATTCTGCACTCTCTCTCTCTCTCTCTCTCTCCCTGATTCATGACTCTATTCACTATCCTCTCTCAAAATAAAGGGATAAAAGCCCCAAAATAAACCTTAAAAAAACAAAAAAACACTGGCGCATATCACCAGATCTGCTTATGATTTGCTGCATTTTAAAACAAATAATGTAATAATAAAAATAAAGATATTCAAGCATTTAGATGCTGGTTAAACATCACTTCAATTTAAAGCTTTAACTATGGGCTCTGGGATATTGTAAAGGGCATCTTTGGTTTTCCTAGCCAACGACGAAACTGTTCATTAAAAATGACTGTCCTCACTTTGGAGGAATCTCCTCATCTTTCTATTCTTGGTATCATGATTCATCCTCTTACATATCTCTCCCCATCCCTCTGCCTCTTACACATTTACACACACACACACACACACACACACACACACACACACACACACACACACTCTCTCTCTCTCACAAACACACACCCAGACGCGTTCAGACATATGGTGCATGTTGGGATTCATCAATAGTCGTATTGCTTACATTATGTTTACATGAAGACTACGCCATTGCTCCAGAGGGAGACCTTTAATCCATGAACAAGTGCCAAACTGGCAAGTGTTTTTTTTTTTTTTTTGAAAGGCTTAATGCTTCTTAAATCTCCTCCAATGGCCTTGAATGGTTTTATGTTAAAAGGGCAGAAGCTTTTCCTTTTGGGACTGTTGTCGATTATAATGTGTCCTGCATCCTGTCTGCTTGAGATACGGTAAAAACCGGATGCAATCCATCTACATGATAACGTTATTCTAGAGAGGGTGCACGCAATCCGGGCTTATTTCTTCCTATCTGACTGCATAACAAGGCTGACAGCTATTTCAAACAAGTGCAGCAGACTGTCACCTGTCCAAATGCTTTCCTTTTACCCTCTTCTCGGTCTGGATTAAATCTCCGCAGGTGTCGGATCCGCCATAAGCGAAAACAACCCGAACAAATTCCTGCCCCCCCCCCCCCCCCCCCTGCCCCCGCACAAACCCCGGAGTCCCCCTGACCGGCTGCCGGACAGGACATTCACTCCATTACCTGCATGTCAGTGGAGGAGAGGCCCGGGTCCGGCTGCTGCAGTACTCATCGTCCCCGTTCCCGTGCCTTCTCGCTCCGTTTGGCAGGTTGGCTCGGTTTGATTCTGTTTTGTCCCTCCAGACAACTTGGTCGGATTAAAGCGGAGAGCTCAGCCCCTCCTCCTGCACCGTGACATCAGAGCGGATTAGCGATGCACAAAGCGCCTTTACAAACAGTGCTGATGCTGGTGGTGCAGAGCAAGACACACAAGCGGTGCTTTACGGCCATGAGTGAACCCTCATCCCTCCCACTCCATCAGCTGCCTGCAGAGAGAGAGAGGGGGAGAGAGAGAGAGAGAGAGAGAGAGAGAGAGAGAGAGAGAGAGAGCTGCCTGCTGTAACACCGAGCTCCTCTGTTCCCACGGTCTGTCGGGGGTGTCGCTGTTATCTGCTGCTGGAGCTCTCTGCTTGTAGTTGAAGTTAGTTAATCAAGATCCCCATGATGCATCATAGAGCCGGATGGGAGAGCAAGTGTCATCCCTCGAGCGCTTATTTGAGCCCAATCACTGTAGTTTTAGAGAAGCTTTTTTGAAGCATAGCTTTGTATGGAACAATCTTTGTTTTTTTTTTACAGGAACACGGTGAACTAAATAACAAAGGCTAATCCCGAGGACAATCAGACTCCCAAAACAGAAAGTTATACAAAATGCTATAAAAAAAACCAAGTGGTGTTAAAAAAAAAAAAAAGGAAGCCAATGCAGAAGTTTAAAATCCTGCAGTTCATCGAGTGTCCACTTGAGGCATGGCTGCTGAAGCATCAGAAGTCACATACACACCCATACATTTTTTTTTTAATCTGTAGGAATTAAACATGTTTACAGCCTGGTTCAAACAACGAAATTGGTGTGTTTAGCTGATGTCTCGATTGGCACACGTTGTACACGGGGTGAATTTTGATGACTCGTCCATTTTTTATTTGATGAAGATAGATGTTATTCACAATAAGCAGCGCAGCTGACCTAATGTGGGTGCGATTTAACTGTCAATATGTTGACTGAAAGTTAAGTTGAGACATCATTTCCAGAATGGCAGATAAAAGAACATGATTTAAAAAAAAAACATAAAAAAAGTTAAGAGTAACTTTTTTTGTTTGGCTTTATAAGAGTCAACTTTATGGAACATTTTTTTGTGTTGCACTAGTCTTCAAGCTGATAGGTTTGGTAATTGCTGTAACTGAATACATCAACATATACCTCCTAATATTAGGAGGTTCTATATTAATCAAAGCTTCATGGTAACTTTACTGAGACCAGACTTGAGAAATTGAAATGAATATTTTGGGAAAAGAGCTTTTTTTTTGTTTGTTTTGTTCTCAGCGTCATTGTGTGAAAACAAAAAACAAAAACCCTCTGTCTGAATTCTGTTTTTTTGGCTGACATGTATTCTATGAGATACAGTAACTATTCATAGCTGATACACGATGTACAGACTGGAGTGTGAAGAAGGGGGGGGGGGCGGTGTTTGCGGGGCTCCTGGCACGATAATCCAGTTACATTTCTGTGTCATAAAAGGCCTGGTGGAGTAGATCAACAGGGCCTGTGTCTGCACATTGTTGAGCCCTGGTAACGCATTCTCACCTAAGTCACGTGCGCCCTTCCACCGAAGCAGCCGTTACCGTGACAACAATATGTGACGGAGGATGGTGATGGTGTGGAGTGGTATCCATGGCATCCAGTCTTTTATTGCGGCCGCGTTTTCTTTTTGATCCCACACAATCAAGCCTCTCCAGATCTGTAAAATTAGTGGCTGTGAACTTTTGGGTGAAAGTGGAGGCGTTTAGGGGACACGGTTTAAAGTCCAGAGCCAATCAAAAAGCTCCAAAATAAAGAGTGCAGTTTGCAGAATCAGGTCATCAGTGTATCTGAGGTAGCAGTTTCACTCTGCTGCAGGCGTTAACTCATGTCAAACAGCCTATATATCGTGCTCTGAGTCAAATTCACTTCTGTTCTATTTCCAGAGACATCAATAATTTGTTGCCTCTCTTTGCATACATGGATGTGGGTATGCATGCTCTGTTAGCGGTAAAGCATGCAGTGAGGGTAGACTGCACCCATTACTGGAATTAATGCACATCAATGTTTTATATCGGCCCTTTGCGGAGTCGTTTCCTATCACGCAGAAAGCCATCGCCTCAAAATGCACGCTGCAATTTCATGTTCATGAGACTGTCGGGCTGCATCAGATAAGATAAGATCATCTTTATTGATCCCCGATTGTGGGAAGTAACATGTGATTGGTAAATGGACTTGAGCTTGAATAGCGCTTTTCTACTTTTTCTTCTGACTACTCAAAGTGCTTTTACTTCGCAGGTCACACCAACACTCTCACACACTGATGGTAGAGGCTGCTATGTTAAGTAACTAATCCATTAATACACATGCACACGCCACCAACGAAGCAGCGGGAGCAATTTGGGATCAGGTGTCTAATTTGGGGTGTCTTGCCCAAGCACACATCAGACATGTTGCTACAGGAGCTGGGGATCAAACCCCCGACCTTCCAGTTGAGACATGACCGACTCTACCAACTGAGCCACAGCCACCCCTGTTACAACAGCTCAGAAAGAATCATCAATAATAATTGAAATAATTGAAATAGTAAGAGGAAGAGCGAACTACTAATAGAAAAATGAAAATATAACAAAAATAACATAAGTATAAGTACATAATTTACATCTACTATTGTTAGTTTTTTAACCAAATATGTCTCATGATGCACTCTTTTTAAGTTTGTTTGTTCCTTAGTGATTACCTGTTTTATTGTGACATTTGTATCCTTGTGTTTCTTTGTTTCTTGTGTATTTTTCTGATGATAATCCTACATTTAGTTTTTTTTTAGTGTTTCCTGTTTTATTTTGTAGTTCTTGCCCCTGTGTATCATGTCTAGTCTTACTTCCTTCCTTTGTGAATGCCTTCATGACTTTCCACTGTGTGTCGTCTGTCACACCTGTGTTTGATATCCCCCTGTGCTGAGCTCTGTGTATTTCTTCACTTCTGCCTCATTGTCATTGTTCATTGTTCATTGTCGGACTTTCCCCGTGTTCCTGTTTTGAAGATTCCTTGTGGCTCTTGGTTTTTTCCTTTTGGATGTTTTGTTGGATTTTGATGGACTTTGTTAAAACTGAAACTCTAAGCCTTTGTTTTTCTTTTTGTACTTTGGCCTTTTGTTAAAATAAATCTTTATTCGATCTGCACTTGGATCCTCATCCATGTTTTCTTCTGAACCGTGTCAACATGTAAACCTGTCTATGCTGTGAACTGGTCTACAGGTGGCGCTCTGAAGAAGGAAAGCATTAATAACCACTTAACAACATTATTTCATTATTGACTTTTTTTAATCTAGGAAGATTAGGATTGTGTTTATTTTACCATCCTGTTATAATTCACACAAAGGGTTAAAAACTGAACCGCATGGAATTCAACAGTTTTCCTTTTGGGCACTTCATTGATTGTAGCATAATAAAAATGTTGCTAATTAATAACATTAGAGCCAATAATGAACACATTTGGAAAAGACCATTAAATAATGTCTCTTAAATAAGACTTTCCTGTTAGCTTTAGCATTAGCCTATTTGCTGTTTAATGCTAAAAGGCTAATTGAACATAAGGCATAACAACATGGTGATCATTTAACACATGTTTTCATAAACATCCTCATCTTTATCAGAGCTTACATTATATTATTGTGTTGTAGAGAAGAGGAGTGATTCAAGAGCACTTTTTGTATTTAGCAATTACCATCTACAACTCAAGGCCATTTTATTTTTTATTTCACCAATGTTTCTCTACAGTAAGTGAACCCACTTTGCCAAGCCCCCCTGTGTCTATGTTCTTGACCTCTGTGAAAGCATGCCCAGTAATGCATTCTTCGACACACACTTGACCTTTGTGTAATGCAGGTACAAAAGGGCAACGCTCATAAAGTCAACATTCTCTCAGCGGTTTCCTGATCTATCTTCTGTCCTCTCCAATAAAGGAATTAAAGAGCTCCAAAATGTTGTTTTTTTTATATTCGCTTACATGTAGTGTAGCTGTTGAATCACTCACATAATACTTGAAATAAACTGTAACTTTTGCTCCAGCAGATGGTGCAAAAACACAGCAGTACAGGTTTCTGACACTCTGACTACCAGAGAAATCACTTTTGAAAATCTGAAAATGTATAATTAAAGGTTTAATATATCACAGTGATCAGATCCAGTCCAGGAAGATCACATTTTCACATTAAAAACCTTGATGGTCTGTGATGTTCCCAGGGGAGATGAAACCTGCTCAGCCCTCTGGCACTGAATCCCATACTGAGGAAAACATGTTATAACTCTTGTAATAGTTTTCAGTCATGTAGTAAAGCATCACCCATCCATTATCAATGCCGCTTTTCATATTCGGGGTGGCGGGGGGGGGGCTGGAGCCGATCCCAGCTGTTATCAGGCATGTGAGCATTTGAAGAAGAAATATGTGCAGTGTCTTCATGTTTATTCATGACTAAAGTAAGTTAGTTTAAAGCATAATCATAATGTGTCACTTAAAGTCAAACTACTATTAATTGTTCACCAGTTAAACAAAAATGGCTCCTGCAATCTATCTTGATGCAATTAATGGTTTCAGCTTGCACTGCAGATGTTTATTCTGGTACTCTTTAATTGATTTTGAAGCTCTGTCGTGTTGTTTACAGAAATACAGAGAACCAGATGAGTGATAGATATCGTTGAAAATATAAATATTGTCTTTGGAACTGAGCATGTGCAGTCTCCTTTAAATCCAACCTTTCTGTTCATTCTTCTCGATCAAACAATTAACATTGACTTGAAAATTAAATCAAATAATTTTCTCAATAATCAGCAGGATGTGCCTCAGATCTTCATTGTTTCCTGGAGAAGAAACATGGATGGATGCTGTCAGGCTGTCTGGACGCAACCAGGAGAGGATTCACCTCCACATCTGGTCCGGCGGAGTTGCCAGGTCTGACAGATGGATCACAAATGTGGACAAGAGTTCTCCGTCTCATAAAAGTTACAACAAAGTCTCAGAAAAATCCTGCATGCTACATTCTTTTCTCCTTAACTTTTTGAAATCCGTTACTCTCTGCAGTGATGGGGATGAGGTTTTCAGTGGTGAAAATAAAATTCAAATTCTCCCTCAATTGAAACTGGTGGAAACAGCCCGAGAATATCTGCAGACTTTTAGGAGCTGCACATGTAGGATTAAAGCTGAGTTGCCTAAATAAAACAGACTGCCTGCAAGCGGTTCAAGGCTGAAACCACATCAAATACTGCAGAGGCTTTCAAAATGTTCGGACTCTGCAGGGTCTCTGTGGGGTCATTTGTGTATTGTCTCCTCTTAAACAGCAGAGCCCCATGATACCACTTTCAGACGGGATCTTAAAGGCTTGTCTTTACAAAAGCAAAGAAAACATACAACATATATTGATATATGCTATATATAAGTTAGTGAACATGCAACACCTGTGACTGCTAAAAAGAGCAAAAGCCCTCTTGGAGGAAGACTGTTGTGCAGGTGATGTTGGGGTTTAGTTTGGGCTCTGTGCACATCTGCTGGCTTTGTGCTGGCTTTGATATTTTTGAACAGGAAACCTCTTTGTTTAAACTGTTGCCCCCAATTTGAAAGTAAATTACCTTTCTACATGTTGGGAAAACTATTCTGTCAGTTCTCTTTTGGTCACTTTAAAGCACTTTCTAAAATTAAATGGGAAGTTTGAAGTCAAGTTGTTTGAAAATAGAAATCCTGCACAGGTTCTCAAACCTGAATACTCACTGTTTCCATGCCAACCAAAACCACCTGCAAAACAATGAAAAAAGTTATTCATAGAACTGTTGTTACTGGGCTGGCTATAGCTCACTGGTTTGTTGGTGATGTGTGTGTGTACAGTATGAATGAGAACAGTTGATACTGATGGACACTTTACATAGCGTCCTTTTCCATCAGTGTGTGAATGGGTTGATGTGATCGGCGGTGAAAAAGCGCTTTGAGGAGTCAGAAGACGAGAAAAGTGACAAACTTCTGGCTGCTCAAAGCGCTTTTGCACCGCAGATCACATCAACCCATTCACACAGAGATGGAAGAGGACGCTATGTAAAGTTTCTAGCAGTATTAACTAATTCCATTCAAACACATACACCACCGACGAAGCAATGGGAGCAACTTTGGGTTAAGTGTCGTACATCAGACATGTGGCTGCTGGGACTAGATCAGCAGAGAGATCAGACTTACCGTCCACAAATGGGACAAAGTCAATACAAACCTTTAAGCTCACGATTCTAATTAAATATTGTCAGCTTCTCTTTTGAACATCTGTATAATTCAAGCGAGGTGGATGCCAATTCTTATATTTTTATTTAAAGAAGGACACCTTAACTTTACAAAGATGCACCCGTCCATCAGTGGCATCCAAACTCAAATAAATACAACCCTCGAGTGAATGAATCTTTGGGCTGATTTGTCTGTCCTATATATAGTTGGATCTCCTAAATGTAGAAAATAAATCTTAATTTATGGGCCGCTTTTGAAGAAGCCTTTAACAGCTTGGTCAAACACTCTTATTTTCTGATTAGTACAGTTTTGTTTTTCTATATTTTTTGAATGTTTATTTGTAAAGGGACACATATGGAGAAAGTAAACTGATACCACACACTACAGCATTTAAAGCCAAGGCTTGTTTGCATTGCCCGTCCCTAGATGGGCTTTTTAAAATACATACTTGTTGCTAATGGTTGCCATGACTCAAAATTAAGGGAACACTCCCCAAAAAGGGATGAATAGCTTTGACCTTTTTCCAATGCCATAACAGGGTTGCCCTTGAGCAAGACAATTAACCCCTAACCCTACAGTGTCTCTGCTTAGAGGACAATAAATCAGACTGTCAGTGGAAAAAGACTGCTAACTCCTGCACAGTGAGACCGTAAAAGTAATAAATCAGCCTCTATTCACCATGTTGATGCTGAAATGAACTTGATTTAGTTTCTTTCTTTTGAAAGGTGACTTAATATTTTTTATTCCTCCTTTTCTTCCCCAATTTGCTCTATTACATCATTTCCCTTCCTCACTTCCCCCACTTAGTTTTCTCACCAGCCTCCCCCACCTCTCTTCCCTTCATTCCCTTACCCCCCCCCCCCTCTTCTCCCTCACCCGCCTCCCACCATCTCATCACTTACCTTCTTTCTCCTCCTCCCTCTCAGACTTCTCCAGTCTCTCTCTCTCTTTCTCCTCCTCCCTGCTCTGCCTTCCAGACACACAAACGTCCTGACAAAGAGTCTGCAGTGTGCTGCCAGTCTGTGAGCTGGAGAGACACTCAGACCAGAAACACAAGAAAGATCTTTGTAGATCAACTTTTCTTGTAACTTTTTGTATTTTTTTCCCCAACGGTGGATGCAAAGAGAAGACCTACTTTTACTTTTCTTATTTCCTCAGGCGGTTTGTTAATTTCCACAGAGAGCTGCAATGCTTCTACTCTACCTCCTGACGTTTGCTGGTGAGTTCATTACAGCAGCAGCGCCAGTGCTGGTGCATGATGGCATGTTTCTGTTAATGCCAGATGCCATGATTCATACTTACCATTCCTGCTCTCTCCTTCTCTCGTTTATTCTCTCAAAGCCACCGTCCAAGCACAAAGCCAACTGTTGCCTGGCTCCTGCAACTTTGAGTCCAACACCTGCGGATACACATCAGATGCAGACTTCACGAGCTGGACCCTGCACAAAGACGGTACTGAACATTCCAATGGAAAACACAGAGCATCCACAGTCGTCAACATTTTGAAAGTAGAGCTAGTAGAGTTTTTTGTGGCTATGTAAATAGCAGTTACATGTTTAGATGTGATGCTGCAGATGTTTTGGTGCTGGTTTTTATCATGCCACTGAAGCACAGTGGTTAGAAAAAGCCCATCTGTTCTGAATTGATTTCTGCATCTCCCAACATCTGGAGTGAATGAACTAACAGATTTAGGTATTCTCTCTGGGTTGGTACTGGAGCTGATACAGACGACTGCACACACCCATAACTACAGTATGTCAGTGTCTGTTTATCTAAAGGGGTCAAACACAAAAGTTAAAAACAGATTGGGTTCTTTGTATTTATTACTTTGTTGTAGATTTTTTTTAAATGATTCCACTCCTCTCACACACTCTCTGTTGCTGTATCTGCACTGAGACCGGGCTGCAGATGCATCTGAAGACAAATGCCTCATATGTTGCAGGAGCAGCAGGATCCCATCACACTGGTTGTGACATGAAGAGAGGCTTGCTTTTAGAGGCTGGGGTCATGTGAACATTACAATAAGACTCTCTTTGCTCTTGGACCTGCTGTTATCTACACACAGCCCATCCCTAAAACCAATAATTGTGCAACAAACCTAAATCTGTCTGGCCAGTTCTGTAGGAGTTATGATGGATGATGGTCCACAATCAATGCAAAACCTGTTAGGATTCCAGGTGCTTTTTAAAATGTTGTGTTAAAATGAGTGAAGTGCAAACTGAACAGAAAGCAAAACAAAGAAGAACAATAGAAATAGGGCTGAACGTTTAAAGGACTGCATTAATAGAATTTTAAAATGGTTATCATAATAGTAACATCTCAGATTGAAAATTAAAGTGACATGGGCATGTACTAAGAAATGTTTCAAGTCAAACACCAGACAGAATCCTGTAGAGTCCCTATAGAAGAGGGTTAATATGACACTGTGCAAGAAAGGTACCTAACGCTCTCAAATGTACTCTATGTAGGGGGATTGTAAGTATGCAGTCTTTGCATTTGTTTAAGAGACAACATGTCCCTAAGCCATTGAAAGAAGCAGGATGGTGAGGAGAAAAACCACTCCTAAATGCAGAACAATGTGCATATTGTACAACAACTTAAAAACCTCTGCAGAGCAACCAAAGATGGCCATGTTGAATATTCTTTGAAAAAAAGTGATGTTATCCAATAGTTGCATAAAAAAGGGCAAAATACAGAAAGATGTTCCAGTGAACCTTCAGCAGAGCAACACCTTCTGTATCATTTACAAGACACTGATTGATATCATGAGTAGAAAGAACAACACTGAATCTGTGACACTGCCACTTCCCACTCCTCAGTGAACTTGACTCTGTGTGTAATCCGGCCCACATCCACACTTCCAAATCCTCTGCTAATCAATCAGCAGACATGATTGGACAAAAGCCAAAATATTTATGTTCTTACTGTGACATAACATATCAGCGTAAAGGATAAGATAGATAAGTAAATAAACAATCTAATACCATAACCCTCAAGATGTGGATCATTGCCCCACAGTATAAAACTTTTCTATAAACCTCTGATGTACCCTTACAGAACATAATGAAACTTTATATTCACTTGCAATTAAAAGTAGTATAACTGCTCTCCTGTGTAGTAAAGAAAACTACATCAATAAGTAAACAGTACAAACATAAGGGGGGTGCGGGCAGACGTACGCCAACACAAACACTTGGAAGGAATCTTGGTGTTCATGCGTTACTTTTAATGACAGATGTCCTTTTCTATTGGAAAGGTAGCCTTAAATGACTTCTTTCCCTGATTCCTGACTCTATCCACTATTCTATCTCTACAACAAAGGCATAAAAAGCCCAAAAATAAATACAAAAGAAAAAATCCAATAAATACAACAAAAAAAAAAGTATTAACTTGACCTTCAAGGTCAATGGTAGCGGAAACACTGTTGTTACTATATGGGAAATATTTTGGGATAATTTGCAAATCTTTGAGAGAGTGACAAAGGAGGATTAGTGACAGATCTTGCAGTTTAAAACCTCTAAAGTATCCTCTGACATTAACTTATGTACGGCTACTTGTGTCAAAACTTTACTAGTCATTCAGTCCTTTCTATACCCATATCTTGCATCTCTTGCAGCCCATCATCATCACATGCATTCATTATAACTACACAGCAGCTACAACACAAACAGTCCATGCAACAGTAAAAGTGAAGTTTCTGTGTTTAAATCTTTAGGATTATCAGGAGAGGTGGTGGCATTTTATGCAACTGAACACTTCTATTCACACGATGGTAGAACAAAAAAAAATCAAATGTAGTATTCTTTTAGTATTTGTTCTAATCTAAGGTACTGATTTCATACATTTTGAAACAGTAACTAGTCCGAGAGAGGGATTGTTGGTATGCATTACATTTCTATGCATTTGTTCTGAAGTCAATATAAGCATAGTACAGAGTGTGAAAGCAGGTGGACACAACAAGCCTTGCTCTCTTTAAAAAATCACTAACAGAGGTTTTTGGCTGAGTAAGGCACTTTAAGTGTTTCTTATCAAACAACAGCCTGAAGACTTGACATGTATTTTATTGTGTTTTTGAAGTGGACGTAGTGAAGGTACTCCTTTCACCCTACACAGAGCGAGAACTAATTCATTCTTAATACTTAAATTGAATGAGTTGAAACAAATTGTTCAGGTTGTTCAAGTTTAGTTGGTCAGTGAGCTCACTAATGACTTCACCATCAACTTGTCAGACTAAGTAACTCTGCTGCACTAGAGCTGTCAAATCAAAACTCAACTCTTAATGCCATCAACATCTAACTGATTGAAAAGGCAGATTCCTCAATCATAACCATGTCCTGCAGCTCCAGTAGCCTCTGCAACAAAAATCTCCCCATAAAGACTTTTCCCCCCGTAGTGATCCTTGCTCGCACTTGTCTGGAATTTGCTCCGTTGTCGCAGCACTTTTTACTGTCAGTCTTTCCTCTGCGATACTTCAGCCACTTCTCTTTTCCTGTTGCTATTGCCGCCGGCTTGTTTGAAAAGGTCAGTGTGGTTTGGAGTGGTAATGGTGTGCTCAGCTCTCGCTCATTTGTTCTCCCCTCTCTTGGTTTCTGCAGCACAGATGAGGCTGCAGGAGGAGTGAAGTCATGTCAAATATATGAGCCACTTTTTATGGACTTTGTTTTTGAGTCCAAATAAGGCATTGATACTGATTAAAACAAGAAAGTAGGCTACGTTGCTTCTTACTTAAATATAATAAATTTAGTTTATATTTAATATTTGAATTCAAACATTTGCAAACGAGTGCAGTATGTTGCCAGAAGGAGCAGAAAAACATCTTGAGTGAAAAGAGCTCTACAGTGAGTGTGTGTTAGTTTGGATATGTGTGTTTGTCAGGATAAAGGAGCCTCAGGGCAGCAGGGCTTTCCACGGGGACAAATAATAAATGACAGACGGGTAAGGAGAGCTCAAAGGCCCCTGCAGCAGAGAGGAAGAGTTGCTGTCATGATGGGAGCTCTGAATTACTGATGAATAAGGCTTTATCCCATCAAGTTGAGCTTTTATTTTTGCTACAAATAATTGTTTCATGAGTATCAGTATCCAGTATTTAACATGTGTTCTCCCTATTCTTCTACCCACAAGAGGAACCTCTGGTGTTTTCTTGACAGAAATCATCATTTTGGGATTAAAGAAAGATGTGCATATTTTGCAACAGAGCTTCTTGTGTTTCTTTTTTAAATTTAAGTGAGGAGAAAACTTTCTCAGATTTAGAACTTCTGTTTACAAGTTGCATTATCTCAGCTGCTCATGTCTTTTTGTATCAGGGCGTTTTGTTGCGGTGGATGCAGCCCCAGCGGATGTTCAGGATGATGAGACAGCTGCAGAAACTGGACCGCAGGAAGAGACCATAGGGGTCCTTCTGAGCCCGGCTCTGGAGCAGGGCGAGTGGAGCTGTCTGAGGCTCGTCTATCAGATCACCGGGTCAGGGAGCCTGACGGTGCTGCAGCGCACTGAGGGGAAGAGCTTCGACAGGCCACTGTGGAGCAGCCAGGAGTCCTCTGACAGCTGGGTCATCTCAAGCATGGACCTGCAGAACAACACTGAGCCTTACACGGTAACACACTCCCAAGTGTCTTTCATCCTTGTTTGATGAGGAACCTAGCTTCATGTGAAAAACAAGGCCAAAGTGCCTCTAATGGGCCCTACAGGTTGTTTATGTTTAAAGCATGCAGAGAAATAATATTCTCAGAGTCTTGCATGGCACCCAAAGTTAAATGTTTTTGTTACAGGAAGCACTAAATGAACGGCTATTAACTATGAGATCTATGTCAAATGAAACCTTTAACTTCAAGATATTAAATGTTGGTGTTGGTTCACTACATCACAACATTATTTGGATTCAGACAGAACACAACTGAAGCCCATTTCTCACTGGTTTCTCACTATAACTTGTAATATAACAAGCATAATGTATAAATATTTTGAGCTCTAATCAAAAGTATCAAATGCAGTATGTCTTCAGTGAGTAGTAAACTGTCCAAATCTCTCTCATTAAAAAAGATAGCAGAGATTTAAAAAAACAAAAAAAACCCAGTTATGCTGCTGTTGAAAAGAAGACAGATATAGGTTGACATAACACATGCAGGCGCAAAGTGAGGCCATTATGATGTGTGTGTAAAAACACACATATTCACTCACACACACATTGTCCAAACACTCTGGGAACAGTGCAGCCCATGTTTATATTATGTGCAGAGGCAGAGCTGAGTCTGACAGGGTCAGGACCTACATAATGGAAAGTCAATGTCTGTACCATGTGTGGGCCCCTCAAAGCATAAACCAAGTCTATTTCAGACCAGACATTTAAACTCAAAGACTGATAAAAGCTTCTTTCTATTTATTCTCACCTAACACAAACACACCACCTCTTCCTCCTCGCCCTCAGGTCTAACTGAAGTCTTTCCTCTCATTTAACAAGAAATGATTAAACATTTTGGAAATGTGTTCTATTGCTTTCAAAGAGCCAAAAAAGAAAAACTCTACCATCCTCACATCTGTGTGTTCAGTTTCTGGAGTCAGACGTTGCTGGCTTATCTTACCATAAAAGCCTTTTACAGATTGTGGTTCTGCAACGGCATAATATTGGTGTCCCAGTGGATTTACACTGCGTAACGGCATTGCAGAAAGTTGAGAGGAGCATGAGAGGCACCGTGTTTGAACACACAGAAGGAGCTTCACACACACACACACACACACTCAGGCATGCATACACACACAGCGCTGCTTCACCATGCTCGATCTGACCATACACATTGCCTGCGCATTCCCCCTTTTACGCCTCTGTTACTCACTAGATGGCTGATGATGATGATGATGGCGATCAGGGACTGAACTTCTTCCCTCCACCATCCTGCCTCCATGTGTGACACACTGCAGACGAGGCGTAACAGGGGCGTCAATATTCTGCGTTACACACAGACACTTGGGGGCAGCAGTAGCTCAGTCTGTAGTGACCTGGGTTGGGAAGCTGATGGTCGCTGGTTTAAGTCCCGGTTGACCCCAGGTAAGGAAGCTGTTCTGGTAGCCGGAGAGGTGCCAGGGTACTTCCTGAGTACTACCAAGGTGTGCTTGAAAAAAGAAATCTGGATCAGATAAAGGGCCGTTTATTTCAGTGGTGGAGACCAAAGTGAAGCTCGAAAAAGTTCTATTAATCAGGCTTACGTTGTTCTGTGTCCACTGGATGTTATTTAAAAGTATGTCATTGTTTCATGTTTTAATCACCCTTCAACCTCCACTCACATGTTCTCACATGCTCAAGCTCTGACCTCATGCTTTTAAAAATGTGTTTCTTCTCCATCTTTCTGTACGTTATTTCACATAAAGCCTGGTGATCACTGGAGCTTTAAAATAAATTAGATTGTTATGCATTTCATGTATGTGCTCTCTCTGACCTTCCATACATTCACTCTCCCTCTATGATGTCATTCCCGCGTCAATCCATATCATAGGTTGCACGGTTCGACTGAACATGTGTTGTTGATTAGGTCGTGATTGAAGGTAAACCTGCAGGGAGCCCTGGGAGCAGCGTGGCCATCTTTGAGATCCACATCAGCCCCGGATACTGCCTGGGTCGGTGATTTCACACATACATCACTCAAACATCTTTCTAAAACCAAATAAAAATCACATATTCATGGAAGGATAAAGACCATCTGTGCTCACTTGGGCTCGTATTATGTTACAGCAGCATGAAGGCATTCTAACCCACACACATAACGGTGGTTCTGTTACTGATTTCTCTTTTTTTTTCTGCGTCTAGATTGTGATTTTGAGGAGTCTCACCTGTGTGGATACAATAATCTATGGAACGCAAATGTAAACTGGTACGTGGGAGGTGGAAGGGGCCAGCTCCTTCACAACAACATGCCAAACGACCACACATACAACAACAAGACGGGTGAGTAAGGTAATCACATATCATACACAAAAAGGTCATTTTATCCAGTGACTCAGAGCTCTTTGTGTTTTCATCTCTGAGAGAAATGAGCAGACGGCTGTCTAAGAAGAGTTATCTCCACAAGCAGCAAAGTGGTCAAACTAGGATCAATATTGGAGATGCTTTTGAAATATGTAGAGAGGTTAGAACACAGAAAGGTTTACAGACTGATGCAGAGCTGGATAAACACTGAAGCTTCAGGGTCCACCACATGGTGACCTGAGTGAGCATCTACTCTAGAGAGGAGGGGGCGGGGAGACAGCTCTCTACAATGTTTGGAATTTGGACTGCAGTACCCATTTTAAACACTAGGTGTCAGAGTTACATACTGCTCCTTTAACAAAGCATTTCCAAAAGGTCTCACATGTGTCATTGTAAATGACTAAATCAGTCTATTTTGGTATGAGTACATTTTGAAGTTCCCGAATCAAATTTAACACCCTCACTTACCTCTCAGGTCACTTGATGTATGTGGACTCGATCTACGCTAAGACCTTCAAAGAAGTGGCCAAGCTGATTTCTCCGATGACGATGGTGCCGATGTCCGGCTGCCTGAGCTTTCAGTACCAGCGAAGTGAGGAGAGAGGAAACCTGTTCTCTGTGTTCACCAGGGACAAACTGGGTCAGTACCAGGAGCTGTGGAGGGCGGGCACAGAGAACCAGAGCGACTGGAGCGGGACGCTGGGGGAATGGATACCTGTGCAGGTGGACCTGAAGGCCCCATACTCTGTACAGGTCAGTGTGAACGCAACATGCAGCATTGATCTGATTTCATTCAGAGGTTACACTGGGATCATGGTTTACCTGATAAAAATGTAGAAGTATTTATTTGACTTCTAAGCTACTTGTGTTTTGTTTTACACAATGACTTACAAAATCAAGGAAAAGGGGACAAAGCATCAAACTTTAAACAGAAAATAGATGATAACAGTTAAAAATATAATCTCAAAACAATCTAATTCCTTTTCCCGCACATTTGTGAGGGAGAGGTTCCTCTCCCACACAAGCGTGCTTGTAACCCCTTCAGAGACCACTCCACTACCAAACAGAAGTAATCTGGTCTACTGTTAATTTTTTCAGTAATTTGTCCTTACCACAGCCTTCCTTCTATTACCCAACATAAGCCGAAACACAGTGAGCACAGCTTACATTCATAGTTTTAATTATGTTAGTTTCTGTTCATTTTTTGCTGACAATACAAGTAAAAGACAATTCTCTGGTAATTTAAAATAAATACTTTAATTACAGTTAAATTAACATTTAAAGTGTGTAATAAGATGTCTTAGTCGGGTATGTAAAGCATCTGCAAACAACAACAGAAGAACAGAAACCACATGAATTATAGTGAAAGTAATTTCCCCTGAAATATTGTTACTGAATGTGGAAAATATTTTGTGAGACTACAGGGCCAAAAAAGAGTCTCACAGGTTGACAGGATAACCTGAGAAATGGGTCGCGTTAGCCAGCTTGTAATACTTGAGATATTTTTATAAATCCTTTCCTCAAAAAGATGCTCTTTGCATTGCCATTAATAAAAATGGACCCTTCCCCTTTTCCTGCTTTTATATCCGAGCTTGTGCAAAATAAGACAAAATAATTGTGAGAGCTATTATCTCAACACTGTACTGGAATGCACATAAATGTGACTTCTGTGTGAGGGTGATGACGGCATGCATCTCTGTTAATGAGTGTCTGTCTGTCTCTCCAGGTGGTCTTTGAAGTGGCCTTTAACAGCCCGAGAGGCGGACGCGTTGCAGTTGATGACATTTCCTTTTCTCCAGAGTTTTGCAGCACAGACTCTGGTGAGGAGCAGCTGTTTCTTCTTTTTTATTCTACAAAGGCTCATGCTTCAATTAGAAGAAAGTCTTGTCTATGTTGCAATTATAAGCAACTGCATGTATTCCAAGATATGAATATGTTATGATTTCAGAAGGACTCAAAGCTTAATGTACCATCAGCAGGATACAGAAGATGACATTAGAAACATTAGGAGATAAAAATGTCAAGTTTGTCCTAAGTCCAATAACCTTTTCCAAAAGTTCAACCTCTAAGCATGAATGAGCTTTTTATATTTCACAATACACAAGATCACAAGGGTCAATAAAACTGCAGGATTAATTTCCTTGAAACTATGTCAATCCTTCACAAATGTCATACAAATCTTGCTGTCAAATAAGAATTATTTAAGCCTGAGCAGTTTGTGTCCATCCATCCACATCAACATGCTGATTCCACACATTTGCCCCACAGAGCCGACTTTCGACCCCTCCGTGGCTAACTGTGACTTTGAGTCAGGTCTCTGTCGGTACACTCAGGACCAGGTGGTGGGCTCGTGGAAGAAGGTGTCTGTGAAGCCGAACATATTCAGGAACGGAGATCACACCACAGGAGCAGGTGGGTTAAAATGACCTACACATCCAAGTCAGTTTACAGGGCCTTAGGGGTCGCTTCTCCTCATGTGGAAAAATGCTATAAGGCTTGTTCTGGCTGCAGAGGTTGCTGTGAGAAGTCTCATAAATGTCCACAAATGATCATTTGAGAAGATGTGTGAGTTTGAAACTAGAACAAATCTGGGACAACGGGAAGTGAGAATACTAGACCTCTGTACTGCAGCCTTCTTATAATTACACTCAATATGAATGACAGATGCATCTTGCCAAACAAGCTAGAGCCAACATTAGCTGATGAATGAGCATTTGCTCCTCTCTGACAACACCCTCAATAATCGTCCCTAATAGCTCAGAAACAATGCTTTGGTGGGAAATGATTTCATCATTCTGCTGCTTTTAAAATGTTTTCTCCTTTCTTAGCTTATTGTTTGGTTGTATAACATGTTTACTTGTGTTTATTTAATGCAACCACAAGCAGCCATCAACTGTTTTCATAGAACAAACTGTCACCCCCACTGCATACATTTTTGATCACATGTAAGCCATTCAAATTTCATATATAAGGGATTAGGTTGTGGTTGTTTATTTGTCAGCTTGTTTTGTTTGTTTGTTAAAGTACAGTTTTTTTCTTAGGCTAAAAACGTTTTGAAAATGTTGAAATCAAGATAATTACAGGGTGCGAGTCGTGATGGGAAAATTCAAAGACACCAGACTGTAAGGAAGAGAAAGTTTTGCAAGATGATGATGGCCTTCTTCATGTTCCAGGATCTTTCCTGTTGGCTCACTCGCGGCTGAACCCTCAGTCCGGTTACGTTAACCGTCTGATTAGTCCAACTCTCCCGGGGAACATGAAGTTCTGCCTGAGATTTTACTTCTCTCTGAGGGGTGAGTGCCCCCCTGAAATCTGTCTGGATATGTGGTGCTGTTTGTGACTATATGTGTGTGAATCCTCTGCTGTGATTTATTTTTGCTGACTCACCAACCAGGAATAACTCTGGCAACGGCAGGTTTCAACCAGACAGACCGAGCTCTCGCTGTTTATCTGCAACAGCAGCAGCAGAGCAGCAGCCAGGAGAAGATCTGGACCCAAGGAGAGAAATCCAGAGGAATCTGGATCGGAACAGATGCCACCTTCCAGACATCAAAGCCTGCCAAGGTCAGAGGACAGGAAATGGAAATATTACATCAATCAGTATCAGAATAGAGAACCAGACGATATGGAACAGATAAAAGAGAGGATAAAGGAAGGTGAAAATGGAAACAAAGAGGGAGTGAAATTATTAACGAACTGAGGAGGGAAGAAATAAACAATCTGATGAGTCTATGAAGGAAGAGAGATTCAAATGAAGTGGGGCTGATTATTGAGTAAACATGTGAACACATGACGAGGGAAAGGAATGAATAGACGGCGATGTAAAGAAAAATAAACTTCTACATGCAGGGAGAAAGTTGAGGACAAAAAAAATACTCATAGTATATGAGCTGTGGCTCAGTTGGTAGAGTCATCACCTCTCAACCTGAAGGTTGAGGGTTCAATCCCCAGCTGAGCAACATGTCCAATGTGTCCTTGGGCAAGACGCTTAACCCTGAATTGCTCCTGCTGCTTCAGTGGTGGTGTGTGAATGGATTAGTTACTTCTGATGGATGATACTACACAGAGATCATCACTACCATCAGTGTGTGAATGGGTGGGTGTGACATGTAGTGTAAAAGTGCTTTCAGAAGACTAGAAAAGCACTATATAAGCTTAAGTTCATTTACAATTTACCATAAAAAGATGGATGACAAGAAGCAATAAATAAAGGCCTAAGAAGAGTAATGCTAACATGATTATCTTTATCAGGTTTATTAGGCATGCTAACATTCGCTAATTGGCTCATTTGTGCATGCTAAATTTGACTTAATGAAAACAGATCAAAGTGATAACTCTCCCACTAAGGCTAATGAATGTTAATGGTCATGGGAATCTATTCAACAGCTGTTCAGACATTTCTGTCTGTGCCCGAGTGTTGAACTGATTGATTGATTTTCGAGCTACTCTTCTAAAAGCACTTCCAAAGAAAAGATAAGCTACTTCAGGAACTATTTAGGGGGCACAGATGGCCTAGCGGTTGGGTCGAGCCCCATGTACGGAGGCGATAGTCCTCAAGGTGAACGGCCCAATTCAAGTCTGACCTGTGGCTCCTTTCCTGTAAGCCATTCCAAACTTTCTCTCGCCTATTCACTGTGCTACCAAAAAAAAGGCAAAAGGCCCCAAAATAAATCTTCAAAAAATAAAGGACAAAACAAAAAAAAATACCTCAAACACAGGGATTGTCCAGCAGATATAATAAATGAAAAAAGGAAGGAAGAGAGGAAGAAATGAAAAGAGTGTTCTGTGTGTTGAGCTCTGGACCGACCAGACAGATTGAACAGATCTGGAAAGGGCTCAAAGACTTCACCACACTGATCTACTTAAAAACATTCAGTATTTCATTGATCATTTCCTTCAGAGTCTCACAACAAAGACTGTGTGGGTTTGGATCTGTCGATGATTAATAGCTTTAAGACTGTGAGATTTCCTCTGAGATGTTGGAGCTGGTGATAAAGACTTCTCTGCTGACTGTCTCACTGTTCAGGTGGTCTTCGTCAGCACCTGCAGGAGCTTCTGGGACTGCGGCTCTGTGGCTTTAGACGATATCAGTGTTAGCCTCGGAGACTGTGAGCTAACAGCAGGTAAAAGCATCAAAAAAAAAGTTTCCCTTAGATGAAGGCAATAGTTTTTATTTAATTGTAAAACTAAAGACTAAAACTAAAAAAAACATTTAAATGTGTTATTAGTCAAGACCAAAGGCAAAGTTTATTGGTTTCTGTCTGTCCTTGAGGAAACAAGACGATAAACAGACTGAGAAACATGTGGAGGGAATAATTTAACACATGGCACAAACACCCACTTAACTATGAGGATAAACTGATTCAAATTGAGAGTGTCAAAGGGCCATAGCTGAAGGATTACAGAAATTATGACACAGTTTGACCAAAATGATAAAGATATGTCAATTTTAAACCTGAAGGTTAAGGTGGACGTCACTCGTTGGTTTCTGAACAGTCGTTTTCAAGCCCAATGAGACGGTCACCATATTGGAAATGCTGAGTGACTAAAGAAAAGTGCCTTTCAGGTGATTTTCAGAGTGTTGTCTATTAGAATAAAAAGTGTGAACTTACACTTCATTTTTCTGCAGCTTCGTTGTTGTCGTCTCTCCCGGGACATTGTGACTTTGAAGCAGGTCTGTGCGGTTACACTCAGGACAAGCACAGCGATGACGCTGACTGGGAGTGGAGGAGAGGACCCACCCCGACATCATACACCGGACCCAGGGGAGACCACACCACAGGACTGGGTGAGGGTTCTCTTGTCAGAAGCTGAAAAGTCCTGCTTACATGATTAAAAGTACACAGGCTCACACAGCATTATTAAAACAAACTCAAACAGCTGTAATCACACATGTTTGATTGACAGGATACTACATGCACCTGGAGGCGTCCCCCTTGCTGCCTGGTCAGAGAGTCCGACTGTTGTCCTCCGTCCTGAGGGGCTCCAGGGGGCCTCAGTGTCTGCGTTTCTTCTACCACATGTACGGCTCCGGCACGGGACAGCTCAGCATCCGTCTCAGCAAGGACGGAGAGGATGTGTTGCTGAGACAACTGAGCGGCGAGCAGAGCATCGCCTGGCTGAGAGCGACGGTGGAGTACCAGAGTGACAGCCAGCATCAGGCAAGAGTGCATACAATAATGACTCCTTCTGTTTGAGATGTAAAGACTCGAAAAACTGTTGTAACATATGCGATAACTCAAGTATTGTACATAAGTGTTTATTAAGATCTACTTCACCTCAGGTTTTTCTTCTCATAATTTAAATTCTACCACACCTGATTCAGAGAGAGGTATTGTACTTTAATAATCCTTACAGTTCTCCTTACAGATGGACTATGAATTCAAATAGCACATTATACCCATGCTCAAATACAAAGCAGTATGGGATATTAAAGCATTGGTTGACTTGAGATCATGCAGAAAATTGATTTAGGTACTCAAATCAGAATCTTTTTCTCTCTTGTATTATGAGCTAAGAACGGTTAAAAAAAAAAACTTTCTTGGCACACTCGTCCTAAGTTCCTTAGTTGAATTAACCAAGTTTTGGTGCATCATTTCTGGGGGCTAGGGTTACAGAGAGGAAAATAATTGAAGCTTGTTAAAAGATCGTTTTCAAGAATCCTCTTGAAAGTTTCTTGGATAATTTATCTACGAAAAACATTTTTTGGCTTGTTGAAGTCTTTCTTACTTTATTGTTGTTTCCATACTGATGCAGCAGCTTTAACAATTCATATAAATAACACATCAGCCCTAGAGGTCATTTTTATGTAATACAAACTTTTACTTTGCTTCTTAGAGAACATAGAGGTGAGTAGGGTTTTTTATTAATTGTTTATTTTTTTATGCTGAACCTTAATGTGTGTAATGAAATATTTTAACATGGTTGTTTATATTAGCTGCTCTTTTCACTGTTCCAGATTGTGTTTGAAGCCACCAGGGGCTCATCAGTAAGGAGTGACATCGCCATCGATGATATTATTTTGGAAGGTGGACCCTGCTCAGGTAAACACTCTCTCTCAGGTATTTGCTGAATAAACTGTTACAGTGTGTGACAGCTCCTTGTTCTCTTTTACTTCCTTGCAGAAATGGAGATCAAGGCCTCTGTGGGAACCTCCAATGAGATCGAGTAGCAGAGGCGAGAGGATCTGCTGCGTAGGATGCATGAACGCTGTACTTTTTTGCACATTACAGACTCCTGACTCCTACATGGTCACCAGAACATGTAGGGATGTGGCTAAAAGGACAAAAAATTCTCATGTAGTGCTGTTTTCATGGAGCAACACATATCAGTTGTGTCATAGTCAGCATTTCTCTCTGCACTGTAGCGTCAGAGGGCGTGTTAAACTGTGTGTTTCTTCCACTTTATATGCATTAGATTAATGCCTATTTCTCAAATAAATCCAGAAAGTTAATCCACATTCGTTTTGTGTTTCTTTCTGTTGGTGACCGGCAAATTCAACACTTTATTTTCGTGTAAGTTACAGGGATTGATGCTGGTTGTAGAGGGCTCCCATAGTTATACTTGTTTGACTAATTGCAGTAGAGATATGGACAATATATGTATATGGTCATGGTCATTTCAATTCTGTAATTTACTTTAGAGACATTTTACACAGCTGAGAGATGAAGTTAGATATTTAGTTTTAAGGTTTTGTTACAACTAAAAGAGAACTTTTTTGTCCTTATGAGTATTGCTTCAATAAAAACGGGGGTTACCTCACAGCGAGGAGGTTTCTGGGATGTTCTCCCTGTGCATGTGTGGGTTCTCTCCGGGTACTCCAGCTTCCTCCCTCAGTCCAAAGACATGCTCGTTAGGTCAACTGGTGTCACTTAAATGTGTGAGCTTGGCTGGTTGTCTGTCTCTGTATGTCAGCCCTGTGACTGACTGGTGAACAGTCCAGGGTGTACCCTGCTTCTCGCCCAATGACAGCTGGGATCCGCTCCACATTCTGTAACTAGAGCGAATGGGAAAAGCGGTATAGATAATGGATTCAGTAAAACGACTTGTAGCACTTTTCTAGTCTTCTGACCCCTTAAAGCACTTTGACACTTTATGTCACATTTACTCAACATTCACATACTGAGAACGGACGGTTATAGTGCCCGTCAGTATTAACTAGAGCCATTCATTGACATAACACGGGGAAAATTAGAGGTTCGGTGTCTTTCCCCAAAGACATGTGGACAGCAGTAGCTGGGATCGAAGCACCAACTTCCAAATTGAGGGATTAAAGATCTATAACACTGAGCCACAGACGCCTTTATTATTCAGTTAATAATAGAGTTAAATACTGAATGTTTAATATTCAGTATTTAACTTTATTTACGAAAACAGGTGACTCAGGTAAAACCAATATATTCAGATTTATTAGAACCACATACACACACATATACTGTACATTTCAATGCAAAAGAGTCTGAATGTCAAGTTTCATTTGGTCCCAAAAAATGTTCTTCACATGATACACGTCCCATCTTTCAGGTCTTTCATGGACTCCATCTGCTGAGTCATCGCAAGAACTTCATGAAATCCTGTGCTGAGTCCAGACATGTGCTGAAAGTACGCCTCCTTCTCCACCTGCACCGACAAATTATTCACCCCGGCGTCTTTCAAAATGGCCGTCACCTACAGATGAGGGGAATTAATCATTACATGGGAGCGAACAATGACCTAAACTGAAAAATGTCCCCTTTAGGGACCAGTACCTCAGGCCTTTAAAGTTTGGCCCTCAGTTAGAGATCAGATGGGCAACAAAATATTCTGTACCTGCTGTATGATCCTCTGCTCCACCACGTCTGACATGATCTGGAGGTGGATGGTCCCTGCGATCATGTTGGCTGAATGTCTCCAGAAATGAGGATCCCGGAAGGACAAAACTCCTTCAATCTTCTCAATCTGAAACAACAGTTTAGGAAAAAAATGAACATCAATATTTTTTAATGGTAGCCAAGGTGAATACGTAAGTAATTGCTCCAGTTCTTTTTTGGCATAGCCCCTCCTCCTTTAGAGTCGATGCACACATGGGTTCACATGTCAGACACTGAAGCTTCAGTGTTTATCCAGCTCTGCATCGCTCTCTAAACCTTTCTGTGTTCTAACCTCTCTCCATTTTTCAAAATCACCTTCAATATTTTTAGGTCGTGTACAATCACTTCTATCTGAACCAGTTCTCTTGGGGAGGCTTCCATCACTCTTACACTTGTTGGTTTGCCGTGATAACGGCTCTCAACGGCCGTGTGGGGTTGCATTTAAACTGCCAACGTTCTCTAATCAAAACAAATCCAGAGAAGCCAGCACTTCAACATAGTATGTTTCCTTAATGTCTGATGATATAATAAGGTCATTTTATGATTTAATTCTGTAGATATCTTACAGATTGCTCCTTTAAGATAAATACACAATCATCTGACAGTAAAAAGCAAATACCTTTGTTACAGATACATAGCCTCCTATTCTTTCTATACTTAATACATGTTCTGTAATATCCTGCTCATTGGTCGAGGTAAAACGCTATCATGCATGCAACCGATTTTTAAGTTTCAAAGATATTACAAGCAGGGTAATATTTGATTCAGTAAGTTTACATGTTTTGTGTAAAAACAGAACCTTAAGAAGAACTTGATTGATCAAAAGATGTTTGCTTACAGCCTCAAATAGCACTGAACTGTTATGTGACAAAATGACTGTTTTTGTCATTGCAGGCCAGATAATGGCATAGAGGTGACAATCAATATAAGACTTAAGTGACTCAGAAAACTTAAAAAAGCAATTTTTGGTTTGAATTGAGCTTTAAAATGTAAAAACACAGAGTAGAAACGGCATGCTCAGCACATTCATCTGATGTATCAAAATAAAATGAATAAGTAAAAGCATTTGATTTTTTCTGTCTCCCTCTTTATAAATCTTGTTATAGATACAATGATGTGAGACTCCTTACCTTTTCCAGCGCACTGTTCAGCTCCTTCTCATTTTCTGGGGGGGCTCGCAGAAGAAGAACCTCACAGGCGTCCTTCATCAGAGGGATGACGCTGAGAAAAATGAGCGTGGCGATGAAGAGCGAACAGATGGGGTCAGCGATCAACCAGCCAAACTGACGGATGAGGATGGTGGAGATGATGACTCCAACGCTGCCCAACGTATCAGCAAGTACATGCAGGAAAACGCCTGGAAGAAAAACACTTGAGGATTATATCATAGGGCGACTTTCTTTTAAAAAGTGCTTCGATTAGCTGAATCACAAACCTCTCATGTTAGCGTTCATGCCTCCACCTCCCGAGCCGTGGGAGTGCCCGTGTCCACCATGCCCATGACTGCTGTGTCCGTGCCCGCCGTGGGAGTGTCCATGACCCCCGTGGCTGTGTTCGCTGTGGGAGTGGCCGTGGTGTGAGTGGCCGTGGTCATGCGAGGAGCAGCTTTTGTTGCTGCCGTGGGAGTGAGCGTGACTGAAAGCGCAGATACCGACCAGGTTGACCAGTAAGCCTCCGACAGACACTGGCTGCACGGACAGAAACAACACCCAGAGTTAAAACTGAATCTATGATAATCAAAAATAATTGGGATGACCTAAATCCGTTTTTCAGATCTGATCCAAAGTAAGTCATTATATGCTTAATAGTTAGATGAAATAATACTTAAAAAGTACAAAGTGCAGCTGTTTTATGCAGGATGATATAAATATCAGAGGACTTTTATATCATGAGATACATTACAAAAAACACGACTACACAGTCTTCATCCATTGCATTAAATAGTAGATTCATTGTACTCACAGTCAACATGTCAGTGTTTATATTCGGAGGATCCAACACACGTGTGACTGACTCCACAAAAACAAAGAAAGCGATGACCATCAGGAACAGGCCATTAATGAATCCAGAGAGTATCTCAACACGACCAAACCTGCACAAAACAACAGAGAAATTTATTTTTTCAATCATCCCAACAACTCCCATCAAATCATTTTCACATTCTTTAATGAACTCTACCCGTAGGAGAAGATCCTGGTGGCTTTCCAGCGCGTCATTAGAGCGGCAAACAAACCAAGGACTAAAGCGGAGCAGTCAAACAGCATGTGGAAGCCGTCAGAGATCAAACCCAGACTGTTGGTCCAAACGCCATAAAACAGCTCGACAAACGTGAACGCCTAAAACAGAGAAACAGAAAATACATTGACATTTAACTGTACACACACCAATCCTGAGACTGACAAAGTGTCAGCCATAAATGTCTTCTACAATTGTATCTGTTAAGTATTTGTCATCCATATTTCTCAAATTCAAAAAAAAGTATGAAGACAAGGCATTTAAAAAAAGACATAAGGGGAGGATGTTTTTTGTTTTTGTCTTCTGCAGTTTCTTTAAAAAGTTTCACTTTTAAGAACTAAGCTAAACTTTCAGTATTGATGTTGTTTTTTTAGACCCACCATTGTTATTTTTGTACAATTATCTACGTGTTGAATTGGCCATGCGTTTACATTCTTGATCATTCATCTGATCAGCAGCAGTCAGTTTTTCTTTTCTTTCTGTGGCCGTACATACCAGATTGAGACACAGGAAGTAGAAGATCTGTCTGGAGTCGTATTCCTCCAGGATCTGTTTCAGGGACTCTTTGATGAACCGAGGGAGGGACTGTGATGTGTGCTGCAGGGCGTCGCCCATGAAGTTGTACAGAGGGGTCCCTTCAGGTGAATATCCCACCAAGGTGCCCTTCTGACCTTTTCTAGACGGAGATGAGAGGATGCTGGATGCTGCAAGGAAGGAGCGAGGAGAAATAAAGGTTGGTGTTTCAGTTAGAGCGTTTATATTTTAAATTACTGTTGAGTGTAATAGTACAACATGTCTACATTCCTCTTCTTATTATTTGTCCATGTGTATCTTTATGTTTCAATACAAGAGGGTAAATGTTCAGAAAACAGTGTAATAAATTAACTGTGTTTTATATTCCTGCTGTACTTGATGACATCATCCTAGAACTGCTGTTCTTGTTCTTTTAAATGCTACATTTGTAATGCTTTATAATCCTAAATTAAAATGTAAAACAGCTTGATGTATGACTCCCTAACAAGTCAAGTAACAGTTTACATGCATCAGTGTTTCCCGTAGAAAGACAGCATTTCCTGTAAAACTAAACATCAAAAGAATATCTTCATTAAACAGGAGCAGTTGCAGCAAAATCCTGTCTGTCTTTCTGAGAGATTACTCTTATACTCATCTCTTGAAAGCAGAATGAACAGGCATGCAAAGGGTAGAGTGAGGGGTGAATGTCCAATGGTGAGCCAAATTTGAAGAAACTCTAGACCTACTGTGTTCACTTACATTTGAGAGTAATTGTGATCATACATTGCCTTTCCATGATATTATGAAGTCATAGAGAAGGTAACCCTTTGACATTTTGGGTTAAATATATCAGAAAATCCAC